TCACAATTAATTTAATTTAACTAATTTCTGTTTATTAAATAATAATAGCTGTACTCGATTACTATGGCGAACTGTAAATGTTGAATTTGAACCGAAGTAGTGGAGGTGGTGAGGAGCTTATGCGGGCTCATGCACGCAATGGGCTCAATTGTTATAGTTGGCCCGATATAATCAACATCGACTGTGGGCCGTTTAATTAAAAGAGACAATGAGGCCCGATTTAATCAACATAAAAAATAAATATACTGCATTATGTCACCTGGTTTGCTAGATGGAACTGAGATTTTGTGCATTTTACGAGGCGACTGGTAGGTAAATTTGGATTAGTGTGAGCCGTGAGCGTGGACTAAGAACATGTTTGTATACAAGAAGTCTAAAAAAAAAAATAGCAAAAATGGATGTATAGGGGTGGTATCGGTTCGGTTACCGATCCGAACGGATAATGTCGGTAACCTCGAAATGTAAAACCGATACCGAACCGATTAAAGTCGGTTACCGAAAAATCGAAAACTAAAACAGAAACCGAACCGATTTTGAACACAAAAAAAAAAATGTTAGTATTTACTTTTCTTGTCAATTTTGTAATTTTTTCACTTTTTACCAATTAAATGCACACAAAAGACTGACAAATCCATTGAAGGGTTAAAAAAGTTTAAATTTAATATATAGAAGTTAGTTTAAATATAATTAGATTACGATTTTTGTGTTAAACGCAACTAATAAAACAATATATTGTTAGAACATGCCAGAATAAAATTTGTGATACAACTTCAACTAACTTATCTAGTAACGGCGGTACGAGAATAGACTACAGTAACAGTAGCATCTTCTTTAGAAGGAGTGAAATTGATAAACCGACAATGTTCCGATGAGAAGGCGAATGAGGCAATTAGTGGTAATTTTCTCGTCATTTTGAGAATTAGGTATGGTTGAGCCCTTATTATCGGTTCAGTATCGGTTTTACCATTAGCGAACCAATAGTGATTCGGCAACCGATAGTCGGTTATCATTACAAGCGGTTCGATACGGTGCGGTTTATTTTCTCATCGGTTCGGTTAAAAAATGCCAACCCTATGTACTTGAATGGCTCAGTGGCACAATTGGTCCCTGTAAACCTCAAAATACGTTACAATCTACAAAATCCAAGACTAATTTTTTGCTAATATATTGCAACACTTGTATAATCCCGAAATTTCAACACTAATTAATTCTCTTACTCAAGTTACGAAATCTTCATTCACAACAAAAACTCTTGTATAATCGTACTATAAAATAACCGAAAAATCAGAAACCCGAATGAACGAGCCTTTGTGATATCGAAAAGAACTATTCTTGAGCCTGAGGACGAACAAATACAGAAGATCAGGCTAACACAAATTATCAGCTTTTATCTTTCTCAGCTGTCATTTTTGCGATATATTTACAATTCATAATCGGTTTAGGCTCTCGGTCCCATTCGCTCATTGGACGAGCCTTCTTCCACGATCGAGTACAACTTTTGAGGTAGATTTCAAAAAGTCCAAACACCATTTTATATTCATCGGCCACTATGTCTCAAAGCATAATCACTCGAGAGCCTCTTAGCCCATGGGCTTTCACTTGGTGACCAAGATATCGGGAATTCAAGGGTTGCGGACCACCTTAAATACAGTAGGGCCACACCAGTAGATGGAAAATCTTTAAAAACCTCGATAATCCGCGATTCAGTCTCTGGGTCCTCGTCAATAATAAGATTCTCATACTCTAATTTTTTTTCGTCGAGAATATTTTCGTCTTGCGAAATCATTCTCATGCTTAGAACTTGCAATGCTTCCATGGCGGTGCTATGGAAGCCACTTTCTACGTATGCCGTGAAAACGTGACTGCAAGTGGATGGATCGGGTTGGATTTTCTCTCGATACATCTGTTCTACAATGAGCTCGATCACATCAATCCTTCCCTGGAAAAAAAAATTCAATCAGCAGGTGTAGAATAGTCAATAAACTGACACAATATGTAAATACAAGAAAATCATATGTATCAGAAAGTATCTTTGAACCAAAAACAGAAATGGCTTATCTTTATTTTACTTGTTTAAGGAAATCCACTGCCAAATAAATTACTTGCCTTTTGCATAGCTGCCTGAAGAATTGTGTTGTACAAAAACAAATCGGGTTTTATCCATTCTGAGCTCGCACGATCCAGCAGTTCAAATGCCTCATCAAAGTCCTCATAGTCCAACAAGATCTGACACAAGCAACCACTTCTCATAAATTGTGTAAGATAACTCGACTTGTCATTGACAAAATGGCACTCAGGAAAATTATAAACTAAAATAATTCACTGTCAGCTAACAAAATAATGGTTGTTCAGTAACAGTCTAACAGATATAACTTGAGGAAGGATGCTGAGTGTCGGATCTAATATAAATGAATACTAAATTTGTTTTACGAGTATCAAGAATAGAATCGATTTTTCCGTACACAAGTGTAAGTCAGCAAAAGATTGCTGTATCTCGCAATACAATTGTCAATGTAAGCTGTACAATGAAAAAAATTATTTCAGAAAAATGAGATTAGGAGAATGACACGTTATTCGTGGATGGAAATAATAGCATTTCATGTGGATAGCATGTGTGATTCTAAAGCACGAAGACAAAATCAGGGCCAACAAGAAAAACAAAACATTTCGTTCAAAGAAAGTCTCATAAAGAGTACCTTAACTAGAGGTGTGCAAGTCACTGAATTGGGGGAGAAACCACGACGAATAATCATCGAGATTATAGCACAAGCAGATCTATAGCATTTTATAATGCTACAGCAGTCGATCATAATGTTGTAAGTGGTTGCATTTGGTGAGAGTCCGCATGACATCATTCCCTTGAATATCTCAATGGCAATATTACTCTAAACAAGGGAGAAAGAAAAGAAAAACATAGGCTTCCTAATCAGTACTCTTAACACAAGAATGCAGAAGAAAAACAAGAGAATGCCATTAACGACCACAAAGCACTTACTTCTTTAGCCTCAACAAGAGAATGTAAAACCATGTTGTAACTACGTGCCCCTATATGACTGCTTCTCTGTAAGAACTGGTTCTCTGCAACACCCAGGTAATGAATCATCTCCTTTATCATGCCTTCCCTTCCTAAAACTTTCAACTGTCAAAACCATGATTGAGTCAACATCCTGACATTTTGCGGTTAGCATTTTGTTCTCTACATTTGAGTTAAAAAAGAAGTTCAAATAGTGGCTGCAGACCCTGTCATCATGCCATCTTCAAGTTCACTTCCGAGTTCTAATATTATTTAAATTATATGATCATAAATATGACTATACTCTAAATTTAACATAGTTCTACCTAATTTTGTCTCATGCCCTTTCTCTCAATGATCATGTTTGTAATCAAGTGTTGTTCGTGTTAGTGCTATCTGTTGTGCTATTATACATTTTCAGACTCTGCTACAACATCTAATATAAAATTAACAAAAGGATAGATTGAAACATTCAGAATGACTTCTAGATGAGGATAGCCTTTGAGTCCTAGTTTTAGTTTAGCACCTTACCAGGTTGAAGATTGATGTACGACTGTGGTGGATGCCATGCCTTGACATATCCATTTCTATGGCCATTATCCTTTTAGCAACATCATTATGAGACAGCAAATCTCCTACCTCATAGGGCGCATTGACGTTGCCAAACAATGAAAACAGCAGTTCGTAAGTCCTGATGTCTGGCATAATTTTCAAATCCTTCATTTTAGCCAATATCCTAAGAGCTCGTACAGGTTGACCCTGCATCAGTTAAGAATACAGGTTGACCCTGCATCAGTTAAGAAAATTGTAAAGGGAACACACCATAATCTTAATTGATTAGATAAATATGGACAATAATAGAGAACGAGGGGCAACCATTGCCTATAATACCAAGTTTACACACTCGACATTTGATGAATAAGACAGAATAAAACTGTAGTAAAAATGCCGGAAGCCGAGTGGTTCAAAATAGTGCATATTATCACTTATTTGAATAAACTTCGGCATAAAGGTTTATGTGGTGGTGATGTCGCCTATTAATCATGCTGAATTCTTTGACTGAGTCAATTTAGTCACATAATTCTGAACATACTTACTGATATAAACAAAGGATTAGTTACACTCACCAGGGTATTGCATGCTTCTAGGAAAGCATTGAAAGGATAAGCGTAATGGCATTTGGACATTTGGGCGAGCATTGACTCAGCCAAGTCCAATTCTAAATCCTTGCTGCAGCTAATTGATATTGCGGCAAGTGTCGAGTCAAGCGGCTTCATCTTTTTCTGTTGCATGACTTCTAGCTGCATTTCGCATGAAAAGAGCATGAATTATTAAGTCCATACGCAAACACAAGATCAGATTCCAAAAATTACTCGTGTACGTAATATCTTACCACATCCATGGCTTCATTGAAACGCTTCACAGGAACCAACGATCTTACGAAGCCATCATACGCCCAGATTGATGGTTCCACGCCAAGATTTTGCATCTGAGTAAAACAAAATATGTACAGATTTTGAGTCAATGACCCACCCCTTTCATGCATCTGTCTTTGTTGCTTTAGGACGTGCTTGGATACAAATATATCCGCTCAAAATGAGTTTTTCTGGTTAACCATGGTTAATTGTTTTAAAAAGTGGTATAGTTAGTTGTTAGTTGGATTTTGAGTTTACATTAAAATAATATTTAAAATATAATATTTAAAATAGAATAATTAAAGTGATGTAAAAGTAGGAGAGAGATGAAGTGAAGTGATGGTTAGTTAAAATTATGTGGGTGGATGAATAATGAATTAAAGTTAATATGGTGTGTAAAAATGATTGATTAATATAATTTAATTATATTAATAATATTCAGGATAGTGGGACTGAGTAGATTTTGACTATGGATTGGGTTATTTTATATACAAAGTACAAACACACCCTTAATGCTTCCCATATCTCAAGAATTTATTTATTCTTCTTTTCTTACCATCGTCTCTCTCTCTCTCTCTCTTTCTCTCTCTCTCTCTCTCTCAGTGGCCAGATTGTTTTATTTCTTCACATATGATGTTTTTGCAAGTTTTACCGACACATGCATAATTATTTTTAAACATTTTCGGACACCAACCATAACAATTATAGAGTTAAAGAGTTTTGAAGTACCTGTAACATTAAATGCTCGGCTAACAGAACATCTTTTGACTTAGCACAAGACTGAATGATGTCACCAACTGACCTTCCCAATAATTTCATAACTGGTTTGGAGAATGGTTGTCTTGACAAACTTTTTGTGCCAGCCTCGTTTAAATCCCTTTCTTTGCAACATTCTGAAGTTGAAAGATCAGAAGAATCATTATTCTCTTCACATTTATTCCGAGCCGAATCATCAGAGAAGGGTAGGGGAATTTCCGAGGTTGAATCAAGCAGCATTCTTTTAGGAGTTTCAACAGTGCTATCCTTTTGTTGTAAGGCCACAGCTATCATTTGCTGTAAGGCAGCACAAGCAGACTGTAAATCTTTCAACATTGTGAAAGACCAGATAAACTTCTGAACAGTTATAATGCTTGGAATATGGCAGTTGATATACTCCTTCCAGATTTCATGAACTGCTGCTAGGTCCTCCCGCAAGACTGCAAGCTGGAAATAAAGAATTCAGAACAGTAGCTGTGTAATATGTAGCTCAATGAAACTCTTTAAATCCAGCAGTTAAATTCATTTCAAATTTTCTAACATTGCAAACTCACAACATTCTCCCTCGGATAGAGTTATCAAAGAAATTTCGCCATAAACTACTGATAACAGCTTCTTAAATGTTGTTCTTTATAAAAAAAATCAGCTATTTTTCGAGTTTCTAAATCTTGATTCTGGTATGCTCAGAGACAACCCACTCTTTAGGCATATACCTAAGCCCTCAAAGTACCACATAGAATTTAATATTTACTCTGGACCCCTTACAATTTTGGACTCTTAGTAAATATTTCAATGTCGAGTAAACTCTAAACATTATGAATTTATGCTATAACTAGAAAATGAAAGACCACGGATATTATTATTCCTGCTCTAAATTGAAATATTAACTTACGATTTGATTTATTCTATTTGTAAAAGAAAAACAAGATGAGGAAAAAATGGGAGTTTTCCATACCTTGAGAAGAAAATTGTATGTATAATCATTTTTGCGAATTCCCTGCTGCTCCATCATAGTCAAGCACTCAGTAGCATGATCTAGGCTATTCAATTGGACACAGGCTTCTAACAAAATATTATAAACAGGCAATGATGGATATATGTTTGAGTTTTCTCTTTGAATCTGCAGAATTTGGAATGCCTGGGGAAAATCACACCAAGTAGAAATTGTTAAGGTCATAATGCATAGCATCAGATGCATATCTGCGGCCTTTACTAGCAGCAGCCCATGAAAAATAAGGTAATTTCATGTGAAGAAAATGTTCACCCAACTAATAGACATGAGAGTTGAGACCATATCAACTAGCAGCACCCAGGTGAGACGCACAGGTTTATTTTGTTCGTTAGTTGTCATCTAAAGAATAAACTTATGAGTGTAAAATAACAATTCAACACTTAAAACCCTAAAGAAACTGAACTACACAAGATTTTGGAGTAAAAAAAAAAAATCAGAAAACTGAACAAGAGACAATTGCTGCTTGAAAATCTGCACCAATCACTGCAAGCGCAAACCTTTGTTACATGTATTTCAATCTATTTCAAGTGGATATTTCAGCTTTTCTATGTTGTTCATTTTGAAATAAATAATAACAATTACGAATTTGCTTGGTAATTGTTCTTGGAGATGATATACTGTTGGGGTTGAATTTCTCTGCAACTGTGGCCGCAGCTGACCTTTAGTTGGGGGCAGAAACACATAACTTTACTTCAGAAAATCACCTGTTTTAATACAATTTAGTTGTGTGGGATGTATAATATATCGATTATCTTATAAAGTTGATTTTCAAAAGAAATTAGAAATATTAACATATTTGCAAACCCATCCAATTGCTTATTGCCCCATTGACATCACCTATCACATTAATTACAACACCCAAGAACTAAAGTGATATAATAAACACCATTGTACCTCTTTCAGATGACCACCTCTACAGAGAGACCGAATTGTAAGAAAATAGCAATTGTCACTCAACTCAACATCCTTCTCCAGCATGACTTTCCAAGTTTCCATAACAAACTGCAAAAAACAGAAGGCAAGCCATATGCACATAACTAAGATTTTACTTTTCAGGAGTAAACCATCTATGGTAAGTTTCTCAAAGAGAACACCTACCAACGGATCGGGTGCTTTCGCACAATAATGAAGAATAGAGACAAAATCACGAGCTTGCAGTGGGAAGCTTCGATTACCGAGCTCAGACAAGAGGCAGGAAGCTCTACCTCTATCGCCCGAGTGAAGTGCATTAACAATTTCCTCCTGCATTGACCTCGAAAACGGCTTCCCTGGCATATATAATCTTCACCTCAGAGTTCGACACACACAAAATCTTCTCAAACTTTCTCTATTGTGCGTACGAACAAATAATAGAAAGTCAAAAGCGTAAGCAGATCATACCACAAGAAGTTGCGAAAGGTCGAAATGCTTCAGTAACAGCAGCTGCATTCTTTCGTCCCTGTCAGTGATTCCCAGAAGTCGAGCAATTTTGAGCATTAGAATTGGAAACCCCTTCACCTTTAGAGTACTAAACAGAAAGAAACTCAAATGCAAAAGATGAAAACTTTCATACACACCGACACGAGCTAGCATTTCTTGTAAACACAATTAGGATAACAGCATCTTCTAAAGACAGAAGGGTACATAGGATTAACATAAACCATCACAAAAAAACAAAACCCGTACAAAATCTGTCTCTTTCCAATCGCGAAGCGAATTTGTCAGGCATTTCAGACGGACAGTGAACCTGTTCAATTCGAAAAAAATCACATAAATAAAAGGAAAAAAAATAAAAAAGACGAAGCTACCAAGCGAATAAGAGAATAGAACACGGCTTAAATCCCAAAAAATTTCGCCGGAACGGGCTGACCTCATCATTGTTGCCGGAGCTTTTTTCGCCCGACGCTGCGCCTATCTGTGCTTGAACAGAAAGTGCTCTAGTTCATCGTCACTTTTTTGGTTTGGGCTTTAGAGCGCTGCTATTTATTGGGCTAGTAAATCTAGTTGCAATCTTTCACATAACTAAATCCAGGAAAAGGTGGGCCGAAGTCCATTGCAATGCCAAGAGGGGTCCAGCCCACATAATGGAAAAGCCACGAGGTGTCCACAACGCGCCGTTTGTTGCGCGTGAAACAAGATTTCCAAATGCCCCAGAGGCGCAGATAATGTTGGCTGTAGCAGATTGTCAGTTTGTCACCGCTCATCAACTGTCTGTCTCACTGGGTCGTTGGAGGGGAATCGCTTCCCGCCCTCGCATCCCCCGTAAAGCAACGACCAATGGAACTCACGGCGGCGGCGATTTGTGCGACGGTGGCGCTTTCCTTTTTGTTTCTGCCTCCCACCGCCGTCGCTTCTGCTGAGAACTCCCGGAGCCTCCGGCGAAAGCCGCCCACGTCAGGCCTTTGCGACGGCGTCATCGGGGCTGTCGGATTCCCTTGCACCGAACACACTGTAATTACTGTTTGATTTATCGGCATCGTTAAAAAATTTCGATTTGGGCGCTGTTTGTAGGCTGTAGCTATATGTTAATGTGTCTCAAATTGTTTTCTGAATTTCTAAATTCATGATTCTTCTCTTCTGTGCCGCGTGGTATTGTGTGCTGAGCTTGAATTAGAACTGTCTTGTGTTGAATTTTACTTATGTGTGCTTACAAATCTCTGTAGACTCAAACGAAAGATGGGTTCGTCTTGGGGCTTCAACGTGTATCATCTCCTTCTCGTGTTGTGCTGAAGAGAGGCTCCCCTGTTCTGCTAATTCATGGGCTTTTTATGGTGATTAGTTATTTTGTTTCCTTGATTTTTCTGTTAAGTGCATAACATATCAATAAATGGAGATTGTAGGTAGAGAGTTTCCTGTTGCCTCTGTGCTTCTTCATCTTTTGTTAATATATTTTCTTGATGGTGTTTATTTACATTGTATTCATTATATATTTTATTTTTCCAGTAGAAGAGTATGATGGTACTTTGAGCTTGGATATTAACAATCTGCTCTCCACTTTCATTGTTTGGACCATAGTTTTATAGGATACAGTACAGTATCATGCTAAGCAGTAGTCTTACAAAATGAAAGAGCTCGTTAGATCTCCACGGGTTGCCATTTTTTTTTTTTGGCATAAGTTACATTAACTGGCTTATTATTTGGTCATGCACTAAGATGTTTGCTTGCAAAATCTGAAAACAGATATTGAACTTGAGAATACCTTTTTCTGCCCTACAGTTGACTTCTTTCAAGTTTCAAGAATTTATGCAATCAATTGACAAAAATTTTTGCAACTTGTATTATCATATATAGAAATGTGTTGAACATACACTTTGGACCTCGCTTAGAAGTTTTATCTTTATGTGCTTGAATTGTTTTAGTTTTATCTTGAGATTGGATATATTTTTCATGATTATAAATCAGATTTGCGCACAGATTGCTTTCATTTTTTATGGCTAATCTGCAGCTATATTGCTAATTACAAATGTAATAATTGAACAGGCTGGTGATTCATGGTTCATGAATTTACCAAACCAGTCATTGGGTTTTATCCTTGCCGACCAGGGGTTTGATGTTTGGGTTGGTAATGTACGTGGGACTCGTTGGAGTCATGGTCATGTATCTCTATCAGAGAGAGAGAAGGTGAATGCTTATTTGTTTAGTTAGTATATGTTCAATAAAAGAGAATACACAGGATGTGAGGAAATTGATCCATTTGTTGTAGTCACTTATCGACTCTGGTTTTTTCCTAGTCATATTGAGAAAAAAATTAGGTTCAATTCGTTGTTTCTGATTGCTTTAAGATTGTCGAAACATACTTGTAAGCTAATTTCCTTACAAAAGTTATTCTCTCCATGTCCTAGGATAATCTAAGAAGCAAATTAGGAAGAAGTTAAAGCACACTCACTCATGTTTTTCTCCAATTGGTGTTCATGTATATATGAATTGGTGTTGAAAATGATCAGTTAAAGGCGTTGAATTAATTCTTCTCTACGTATGGGGTATGAAAATATATTTCATTACCTTGTCAATCACGGAACCGGTGTTTTCTATGCCTTTGGACCTCTATCATCTAAGAGAAATACTTACGCCTTCATTTTATGCATGTGGGTTTTTGTTGAGGCATAGGAAAACTGTTAAAGAGGCAGCTGCTCTTTTCAGGCCTTCTAATGGAAATTTTCAAAATAGAATGGATATCTTGAATTTTTTTGTTCATGGCAGTTGGTGTTTCAAAGTACATTACATTGATTTGGCTTTTGTTATATTCTCTTTGTTTCAGAAATTCTGGGATTGGAGCTGGCAAGAGCTCGCTCTCTACGATCTGGGAGAAATGATTCGTTACGTATATTCAGAGACAAGCTCTAAAGTTCTTGTTGTGGGACATTCACAGGTCTCCATTCTCATGAAATGTTTTGGCAGTTTGTTGTAATATTTTGTGCTATTAGTTCCTAAAATATACGTTCCTTTTCTTTTACAGGGAACTATCATGTCTCTGGCTGCATTTACTCAATCAGATATAGTTAAAATGGTTAAAGCTGCTGCCCTTCTATGTCCTATATCATACTTGGAACATGTCACTGCTCCGTTTGTTCTTAGACTAGTCAAAATGCATCTTGATGAGGTCAGCTTGATGCCCTTCAAGGCTTCAATTATATTCTTGTTTGGAAATGTTTCCTGTCATGCTGAGAACATTTTTATATTATAGGCGATTCTTGCTATGGGCATTCATGAACTCAATTTCAAAAGGTTGCACGGTAGTCTTGTTATTTTTCTCTATTCATCACATATTGTTTTCTCCTGATTGTTTCATAATGATATTTTCAGTGACTTGGGCACTCGTGTTATGGATATGATGTGTGATGGACACTTGGATTGTGATGACATGCTTTATTCTATCACAGGTTCTCTCAATTCTTATTGATTTTTCATCTCTCAATGTTCCATCACTCTAGGATAAAGGGTGTTTGAAGGGCCAGTGACATAATTCTCTAAAAAATATGCTTTCTTGGAGCTAATGATGTTTCTTCAAAGTCACTAGCAATTGAAGAAACTAATCTATACGACCCTTTTGCCTGTGGAAACTAACCTATACAACCTTTTTTTTTTCATATTCTGTACATGAATATAAGACGGGATGGTTTGAGGTTTGGAAAAGTAATGGTGTAAAGTCACATCCACCCATTAAGGTGTTTTAGTTAATAGCATTAATAGGTTTTGTTATGTTTTCAAATATTCCAGGGTTGTGGGAATGCTATTGAAAATGGTGAATTGGATCTCAATATCTGGACTCGCTTATCTTTTTTTTTTT